TGCGACTCCGGCTTCTGGAACCTGCTGGCCAAGCAGCTGGACGTGCGGGGCCTGCGGGTGCTGGCGGCTTGTCTCACCCAGCAGGGCGCGGAGCAGCTGAGGAAGGCGACGTCGCAGCGGCTGCAAACGGTGATCCTGGACGTCACCCGGACTGGACAGCATCGCCGCGGCCACCGCCTGGGTGAAGGAACAAGTGGGGGACAAAGGTGCGGGGCCCGGGTCTGGCTGTGCCCATCCCTCGCCCGCCCCGGGTCACGCTCCTTGCCAGACACTCATCACAGGCATATGGGTGCTGATGGTCCTATTAGCACAGTCACACCCAGTTCTCCCGTGGGTGTCACCCGGGCTGTAGAGCAGGTTGGGGAGCTGTGACTGAAGGTTTTTTTTGGGGGGGGGGGTCTTGCTATCCTCAGGCCCCCCAGCAGGGGCCATCCTCCCCTTGGGCATAGCCTGCTGGAATCTGCCCGCTGAGGGGGCAAGGGACAGCGTGACTCTATTCCTATTGGCCGTTCACAGCCCAGAGCATAGGCAGGGGGTGAGAACTTTCCTGGGGTGTCCTCCGTCCCTCCCCTAATGGCTGTGGGGGTGCGAGGCAGATCCGGGGAGAAGGAACGTCCCGTCCTCCCAGCAGGGTGGAGATTTGAGAGAGAGCAGTGGGTTGTGGGAGAGGAGCGGAGATTTCTGGGGGAGGGACGGGAGAGGGAACAGCGCCCCCCAGTCACACACCCCATTTCCTCCGCCCAGGGCTCTGGGGCCTGGTGAACAATGCGGGAATTGCTATCCCCGCGGCCCCCAACGAGTGGCTGACCAAGGATGACTTTGTCAAGGTGCTGGACGTGAACCTGATCGGCCCTATCGAGGTGACCCTCAGCGTCCTGCCCCTGGTGAAGCGAGCCAGGGGCCGGGTCGTCAACGTGGCCAGTATAATGGGCCGATTGTCCTTCTTCGGAGGGGGCTACTGCCCTTCTAAGTACGGCGTGGAGGCATTCTCCGACAGCCTCCGGTGAGTGACCAGTGATAGGGCACCCTTTTCAGCTGCGCTTTCTGCCCCGTGCAACCCCCGCCACCACCACCACCCGTGCACTGACCCATGGTGCAAGTGCCAAATGGTGAATACACGCCCGGACGTACTTGCTGCAACGTGCAAATAGCCCGGTATTTCTGCACACGATGCACCTGGATCTTTGTCTCCCTCTATTGGTTGGGCCCACGGGACTCCTGCTCGGGGATGGCCACGGGGATTGAATCTGTCACCTTTGGCCCTTAAAAACATGCGACCGACTCGTGAACCTCTCATCAACCACTAGCGAGAAGGTGCTCTGGCATCGAAGGGGTTACTGGATTCCTGCCTGGCCCCCGGTTGATCTGTGAGGATAGAGAAGGAAAGGGGAAACCGGGGCAAAGTTTGTGACTGTAGCGAAGGGTGTTTCTCCGTCCTGCCGGCTGGCTCGGGGTGGAAAGGCCTGGAGGTGGCTGTTACCCGGTAGTTAAGAGTTCATTCCTTCCGGAGCGTTCGCTTTGGCAACCGTGCGCGTCCTCAGGGAAGGGATGTTGTCAAGCGACTCTCCAGGTGTAGCTGCTCCGTGTCTTGCTGCTCTGCAAGGCAGAGTGTGACCCGCCAGCAAGCGTGCGAGGGACATTGCTGCCGGCCAACTGGGGCGCTGCAACTCCAACCCTCGCTGTGGAGACGGGCTCTTCACTGAGACTTGATTTCTCCTTGCGTCAGCTCAGAGACTCCTCCGGATGCAGCCCCGCGCTGCTGGGCTTCGTCTACACGGGAGAGTTGCTTAAAGCGAATCAGGTTTTCAACCAAGCGAGTTCAATTGCTACAGATGCTGTGATTCCAGCCGGTTTAAACTCGGCCGCCCTCGGCTGCCCTTATCCTGAGAGCAGGTTCCCCGGCTGGGGCTGGCTGAACGAGACGGGTTCGAAGTCACACCCGAGGTTAGTCTGCCGCGACTTTCTCGTGTGCTCCCAGCCCTGCCCGTGTGCTGTGTGTGCAATTTACAAACCAGTGTCTGAAAGGCCCAGGCTAAGTACGAAATGGATCCCTGCATCCACCCACCCACAGCCCCAGCAGGATCGGGGCCGCAGCATAGGAGAGGAATTCTCCTTTCTTCCCAGCAGCTGCGCCGTCCTTCCCCACCCCATCTGCACCAGCAAAGATGTGCCAGCAGAGCTGTATTGGACAACGCTGCTAGCGTCGACTCTGTTCATGCCGGTGTAGCTTATGCCAGCCAGTGAAACGAGCCACGTTGGCAAAAGCACATCGATGCTGGTATCACTGCGTCTACACTAGGGGAAATCACCCAACTCCCTGACGGCGCTATCCTGGCAAAAGGGTCTGGTTTAAAGCTGGCCTGGCTCCCAGGAAGGTCTAGCTGCCAGACAGCATGTGTGACGCTCTGTCGGTCGTTTCACATGCCCCTTCAGAAGAGCTCCGCGTAAGCTCGAAGGCTTTTCTCTCGCGCGACGGGAGTTGGGCCAATGAAAGAGATGACCTCCCCCGCCATGTCTCTCTCCTATCCTGGGACGGCCCGAGGACTGCCCATTGCCGGCTCTGTAAGTCAGTGAAACGTCCAGGGCCAGAGCCTCGGATGGAGGAACTCAGGAAAGCGTTAGGTTGAGGGGCGCTCTGCCGATTGACCCCAGCTGAGGATTGGCCCTGAGGCCTTATAAAACCCCGAAGCGGGACGTCTTTCGCTCTCTGGTCCAGTTCACGGGGTCCAGTCTCCCTAGCAGAGGGGCAGTTATACTGGTCACAAAGAATAGCTGTTCCCATATGGGACGGGGCTCGGGCGACTAATCCCCCCATGGAGGTATTCTGGAATAACTACTGCGCTTTTAATTCAATCCAAATTACCTCAATCCAAATTAACTTTCAAGTGTAGACAAACCCGAAAGCCCCTTGATTCCAGTATCACTGTGTCCGCACAGGTTGTAGAAGCCACCAAGCCTGGCCACATACAAGACTTACGTGTAGACTGGGGCTAGTTCAAGGCATGTTTCGGATCTCACCTCTTTGGGAACCAGCCCAGCCCCCAGGAAGGTGCTGTTCCCACACGGGTTAATCCTGCTTGTCCCGTTTCAGGCGTGAGATGCTGCCTTTCGGGGTGAAGGTGTGTGTGATCGAGCCGGGCTACTTCAGCACCACAATTACCAACCCTCAGATCATTATCGAGAACTTCACTCGCCTCTGGGAGCGGCTCCCCGAGGAAACCAAAGCGAGTTACGGGGAGAGTTACTTAAACGATTGTGAGTACGTTGCCCCATTCCCTTCCCCACCAGCCGGCAGCTACCGTGCACCCTTCTCTCGTCCCCGGCCCTGCACTGCCGCAGAGCGGCCTTCGTGTCGGCAGACACAGGACGGCTACAGGGGCCGATTCTCAGCTGCCGTGCATTGTGACTGAGTGGCGTTGCACACACACTTTGCACTAGTGCAAATGACGCCACACTATGCACGGCATTGGGAGGTCAGACTCCTCGTTCCCGCTTAGGCCTTGTCTAGCCAGGAAATCCGGTGTTTTTCTTTTCAATCCGGCCAGCTCAGCCCAGCTGGCTGAACCGGATTGAAACCCCCCTTCTTAAATGTGGCCACAATTTAATGCACCGTTCAGAGAGGTTGGGCCGTGCTTGCGTATGGCCCAAGATCAGGTGTGTCTTTCGCACACACGGTCCCTGAACGCTGCTGACCCTTGCACGGGAGCAGAACTCCCACGCTGATCTCCTGAGAGTAATAACCCGCTCACCCCCTGCTGCTCCACCGGTGAATCGGGGGCAACTGCTGCTTCTCTCTTGGGGGATTTTGCTTTTCTGCTCTTGCGAGTGCAGCAGAGCTCAGCCCCG